AAATAATTCTGTTTTTTCATCTTCTTTCTCAAATTAAAAAAGAAATATTCTTATTCCAATCTAAGTATAATATCTATTCAAATCCGAAATTTTTCAATAAATATTAGTTCAAATATAATCTAATATTAATCATCTCATATTTTATTAAGAAAAAAATTCCCATCTTAAATCTCGATAAAAAATAAAAAGGTATCTTATTCCAAAAAAATAAGAAATATATATAATATCTTAAATTATAATCATATCAATATATCATTATGCCTATAAATAATAAGAAGAAATATAAATATCAGATCTAGATATTCCGCATAAATATATTTATTTCGTATTTGTTTAATTCTAGAATAATTATTGAAAAATCCTAATTAATTATCTTATATCCCAAAAATATCGAAAATATAAATAATAATCAATTTCTATTGGCCCCCTCCCAGCAAACCTCAATTCAGAGAGGGAGATCGATACCTAGGTAGATATATAATAAACGACTATAGATCTGATAAGTATAAAAAATAAGCGGACAGGTCAGAAAAATCGAGAAGAAGCAGGCAGCCAGCCCGCAGGAAGTAATAAGAGTAACGAGTAAGTACTTCATTACAAGCAGGAAGTGAGTTATGCGTCGTAATATTTGGCCTTGCACGCTGCAGTTCCCTGCTGGGTTTGGCCTCCAGGCCTCCGGCTGCAAGCACCAACTGGTTTTAAGGTTTATAGGGTTTAGGAACATGCATTCTTTCTCGCCGCATGTCGATACCTGCCCGACGGTAATATATCCGCATATAGTGACATACGCGAGGAGGGATATGGGGCCTCCCAAACAGAAGCTCCCCCTCGTCTTCGAGTCTTGCTTCCTGCGCGAAAGGAACAGGAACGCTGCGGAAGTCTCGGCCGACGACTCCCGCGGGGAACAGGAACGCTGCGCGAGTCTCAGCTGACGACTGACCCCCAGAGCATTGAAAACAAAAAGTGAAGAAAGAACTCCGCTTCAGAGATCTTCTCCTGACAGACCAAAACATCTAACGTTCTGTTGGGCTGCTCAAGCCCGAAACGGCCCTCAGTTCACAGACTCAGACTGGGCTGGTGTGCCTTTACCGTGCCTGAACGATTCTCAGCACTCTCAGCCACTGTGTGGCGGCTCATGCGCAGGAGCACCCACGTCGTCCACAACTGCGTAAGGAAGAGGATGGACAGCAATACTGGAATACCGACATGGAGCACTGCGGCCCAATCGAACCGTCGCATTGCATCTGTTGCAAGAGGACGATCCTTGTTGTAGCCCGTCTTCAGCCAAGAAGCGAAGCTTACTGTCGCCAGGCGAAAGGTGTTAGCGCCTGAGACGAAAAGAAGGAAGGAACAAATATTGATCGCCGTATGCATTGCGAGCTTGATCCATGCTGCAGCGAAAAGGCTCCTCTTGAAGCAAGTCTTGTCAGAGACACCACGACCTCTGACAATGAGCTCGAAGACATAGGCGATGCCCACCCAATCTGCGCAGGCACTCAAAGACCAAAAGGAGCTACCAATGGCCTCGTCCACCGAGTAGACCTTCTCAGCTTCAGACAGGAACCATTCCGGATGACAGGCGATGAGCGTGCCCACAATTATTCCAAGCAAGGAGAACATGAAGTTCAAGGATCTCTTTAGGGCATTCACGCGACCCTCAAGTCTTCGACTGTAGAGCAGTGTCACAACTTTGTAGGTCACCGAGATGATGCCCAGATGCACGATCATGCCTGTGTGGCGCGCGCAAGCGGAGAAGAACACCACTTTAATAAACTTACCACAACTGAACACTGGGTGGCAAAGGAGCTGCTGAAACACGATCAACTGGTTCTTGCCGAGACGCTCTGCGGAACGATCCAGTTGTTCACAGGCGGAGTCGCCTCTGCCTCCACAAGCAACTCACAGAGTTCGCGCTGTGGACCCTCCTCGGCTGTCAAAGGCTGAAGTTCAATCTTGTGGAACTCGTTGCTGTGCGGTGCCAGCGTCGAACATTCCTCCACGTCAAAGCAAGCACGCGTGCCGCAAACGCCGTACTCATCTCCTTGGCTGAGGATGCCCAGCGTGGCTCGTGCGAAAGGCAGTGGAGGGTTGGCAGCCAGGAAGATCTGGCACATCTCATCCTCAGAGCTCAAGCCATACACCTTGTCACCCAGGTTCCTCAAGTCCCACGTGCATGTCCATGAGATCACATCCCCGGGCATAAGCTTGAAAGATTTGTAGATCACAGCCTGACGATTGAAGTCGAACCCCCGCTGCTCGAAGAGCATCTCTGTGCGTCCGCGCCTCGTGCGGTAAGCCTTCAAGGACTTGCCGGCGTAGTGCATGTGTGCCAAGGCACCGATCACCGTGACCCCATGTGCTGGAAGGGTGTCTGTGCACGCCTGTGTCAACACGAAGCTCTTCTGGACAATGTGGTTCGCCGGCAGCACATCGGTCCAGACTCCCTTGATGCTCGTGATACCCACCGC